ATGGTCTCCTCCCCCTTCTCCCGCCCCCCCCGCCCCCTACTTACCAGATGTCTCCTGCAGTCACTGGGGACTGTCTGAATCATCAAAGCTCTCTAAATCTTTTCCAAAGATTTGGAGAGCTTCGAATCAATTCAGACCTTTTTATTGGTCCCCTGATTCAATTCAGATTTGGAGATTCAGCCACCGAATTGGGCCAAATCTCCTCCAAATCGAATCAGTAGCCAAAGCTTCGCACTTTGTCTTTTCAGATTGGATATTGAGCTGCCTGAGGAGAGACTGTCTCCCTGAAGCTGAATTCCTGCCAGACCTGTGCCAAAGTCATGTCATTCTGTTATATTCCCAACATTACCAATGGCAAATGCTATCTTTTGTTTTTAAGACTCTGTGGTGCTAGCTGCCAGGCTTCAGTTTTACAACAAAGTTAATAAAAGTGCAGTGTGTCACAGTACAAGATGGTAAAGCTGGTTGGAAAATTACCTATTTCCACATAAAGAAATTTGGGGTATTTTCTTTCAAAAACAGAACACCAAAAATATTCATTTTTAGGCAACTGAACAACAATAATTTGGGGCTACAAACTAAAAAATTCTGAGATATGATTGCTAAAAGCCAAAACAATTTTTTTGATTTTCAAGTTCAATTTTTTTTCCCCCTTATTTATTTATTTATTTATTTAGGACAAAATTGAATGGTTTTGGTGACATTTTTTTTTCCCTTTAAGCTCTCCCCCCCACACATACACACGTTTTCCAATTTTTAAAAGCACCAGCATATGTATATATGTATAGTATTATATATAATGCTATATATAGTATATACTATTAATAGTTATATGATATAAAATGAATAATATATATTGAGAAAGAGAGTTTATTCTGTAGCCCTTTGAACACTTTTACCAGCAAGATTTCTTTGACACCATTGTGGTTAAGAATTTAGGTACATATTTCCAAAAAGTAAAGTCTTTGTTATTGAACAGTACAGCTTCATGTTCTTTCTGTTTTTATTTCTTGTTACACTATAACATTTTGAAAGTAGCATTTTACCAGGAGTATTTTAGATATTAATTGTGTCTCCTTTTCTGAGTATAAGACAAATTATGCTATCTCAGGACTTTGTCATAACAGTTATTTAATGCTGATATTTTTAAGTTGTGATCCCTATGTACATTTTTATTCCTATAATTTAAAATGATATCTAGAATATTAATTATAACATTGAATTATTTCTTGTCCTATATTGGTAAATAATAGGGCTGTGTGAGGCTTTGGACAGAGGTTCAGATCCAGGGGTCCAAAGCAGCATGTCTGGGTCAAAGCACTGGCCTCGTTAGGCTTCCCAAAGCAGGTTGGAGCTTCTGAAGTGCTTCAGAGCTACCTCGGAAATCCGGCCATAGGGTATAATGGGGAATCAATGAAATATCTATAACTTTGTTGGTTTTTGTCCAATCGGATCACTGCCATCTGAAGCGGCCAGATCTGAAGCCGGTTCGGATCTCTGCTGACTCGCACAGGCCTAGTAAATAATGACAAAGAGCAGTCAACAGAGAAGTCTGTGCAGCACTTGGTAACTTAGCCATA